ACATATTTTTGCTCAAAAAGGTTGAAGATTAGGTACTGTACTACTGTACATGAGTAGTTGAGTAAATCGAATAATTATCTCTTCTCATAAAATAATCACGTTACCACTAATAATTATTCTTGGTATAGAACCACCCAAAAACTTAGCATTATGTGGCAGTACACTTAATGCACCAATTTTTTGTATTTTTTTAAAATGAAAAGTACACCTTGGTCTAAAGCATAAACTTTAATATACAAATATAATTTTATAAGAATTTTGATTTTATATACTTGTATGTTCTTTAACATAAAAATTTAAAAGTATTAAATCAAATAAACATTTTCACTGTTTTTTGAGTTGTATTATATACGATTTCTCAACCAATCACTTATTTGAAAAATAAATATTGTAGCCATGATTGAATTAAAATTTGACCATAACATTTTGCAATTATGTATTAATAAAAATAACTTATCTATCGTTTTAGATATGATTAAAACTTATTTTAGTTGTAAGTTAAAATCGAGTAACCATCATCAAACCTTACTGAACCTTCTAACTTGATATAACGGAAAATAAAGTTAAAAAAAATAACTTTAATACATGAATAATATAAAAGTCAAATTGTTATGCCATGTTGATCGGACATTTTATTGCTTTATTTACGATTTTGCCACTTGCTTAATTAATTTTGCTAATCAATATGATAAACTGAAACTCCTTCATTATCAACCAATTAATGAAAAAATAAATAAAAGAAAAACGGAAAAAAGCACGAGTAGCATACGCAAATAGTAACAATCACGGGCCTAGAAAAACGAACCTCTCCCTCCATAACTAACCTATAAGATCAATCCACGTGTACGTAGATTAACATTCTCAATCCATCGCATGTGCGCCCCACCTAATGCGGCGCCGCTTCAGTTGAAATTCCCAAAATACCCCTCTTTTTTCCCACGCGGAAACAATTTTTAACCCATTTATCCTCCACGTGTCCTCTTATCATTGGCTCTCACCAACGTGATGTTGCCGTTTATTAAAATGGGTCCCACCCCCACCCTTCTCACTAACTGCAGTACGGCACGTCGTTTTTCTCGAGAAATTATTTTTTGTTATTTGAATAACGCCGTTATTTTAGCTGTTAACGCCGTTATGTGGGGACTACTTACCGTTTACGGTATTACCCCTAACGTTACGGTGGAATTTAAACGTGAATTCTTTGATTTAAAATAAGATTCGAAAATGTGAAGTCGTATTTGCCTTTTTTATTTTACTAAGATATGATAATGTGGGGTTTAATTTGAGATTTGACGGACCACAAAAGTCACATGCATTGTATTAAATTAATTATGAGTATTAATACAATGATCAACTTACTCTTGGTATGTCCTTGATATAGGACTAGTGGACCTTATGGTTCACAAATTTATCATTTACTCTATATGTATATATCTATGATTTTAATAATATCGCGTTTGAAATTTCATTTTCAATTTTTTTTTTATAGGATTGCTATGTTTCATTGAGCATTGATGATTTGATGTCGACTTTTTTTATCGAGTATTATTGTTTGAGGAAATTCACGTAACTGTTAAATAGGAAATAATTCGGAAGATTTTCAACAATAAACCTCAAACAACCACTAAGAGACTGAGAAGTTAAATGAGATATGAAAAACAAAATAGTAGGACTACAAAATGGAGAAATTAGAAAAAAGAAAGGAAGTGTGTTTTACGTGTACAAGTTAGCGTAATAATTAAGCTCAAATGTTGTTTGGTGTCATCTATAGACAATTTTTGCAGTTTTGCATATGAATGTGGCTTTTATGACACTCTAGCTAATTGGCCAGTTTGGCCTAAACTTCAATCTACAAATAGTACGGAGTATGAGTGATATTTTTTACACACGTTTAATTAGTTTACTTTTATCATAGATTATTTGTTGAAACCTAACATAAAATATAGACAAGCACAGAGTAGCGGGAGTATATTTGCGTATATGTGATTGATCATTTCGATCATTAATTAATTTTTATTATTATTATTATTATTATTATTTGTAAAGGCAATACTATAAATTTGATTAAAATGTAACAATGGTTGTCTTTTTAAGAAATTTGCTAATAAGTAACAAAAAATTATTGATAAATTTAAAAGTATAGTAATAGTAGTAACAACAAAACAATGTACCTAATAAAAAAATAATATTGTAATACTAACTAGGAAGGCAACGGATCGGATTCAGATCAGATGGGGCTAAATCCGAATCTAATCCGCTTAATACGCAGACCATGGACTCGGATTTGAATCCGAATCCGAGTCCAAGTCCAATTCGACTCATATTTTTCGTATTCGAACCCGGTTCGTTTATTCAGACATCCAATAAAAGCTGCCCCATTTGTGTGATATACTAATATTTTCTAGTAATTTCTCTAATAAATTCATTTCTTACATCATATTGGTCGAATTCGGATCCGGAGTCAGACTTTGCGAAAAGTCCAAGTCCAATCCGCCTCCTATTCGGATTCGGATCTATTTAGTCGTATTTGGACTATTTTTAATGGATTCATATCAGACTTTTCCTTCGGCCTTCGGATTGGGTCAGATTCGAATCGAATATGGATTGAATTGCCATCCTTAATACTAACGTTACTATAATAATACAATTGATATAGTATTTGACATTAGTATATTGGACATGAATGAACTTATTAAAACCTATTGAGCCTGATTGAAACTAATCTTAACTATTTTGAACTTCTTAGACCTGAAACTTAAGGTGAAGACAACACACCCTGATTTTATTGATTTTATAAAATATAATTTTAAATTTAGAAAAAGAAAATTGTGGTAGACCTTTATGATACTGTGAACCTATCAATAATATCAGCATATATGTGGTATGTAAAAATTGGATTGAGATATTTGGATTCAAGATTCTTATTATTATTTGAGAAAGAAATTGTTTATCATCATAACGATTTAATGTTTTTTGTTTGATTAGTTTCTATAAAAAATTCTAATATTTCATACGATGTACAACAATCTTTAAATCACCAAAAAGTTAATTTTACAATAGTCGTTTAGCCATGTTTACAGTTTACAATAGTCGTTTAGCCATGTTAGAGATTTGCGAATCGATTGGCACCTAAAAAATCTATGATGTTCCTTAGACTTATTAAAATGATGCATAAAACCATTGTAGAATCATCGCTAATCATAATTGATTGAGTATTAATGACTACTTACCTGTAGAGAAAAATCACAATCAAGTGAAGTACGAGTTGGGAGAAAAATCTAAGTATACCCACTATTATATTATATATAGTATGTCATTTATTTTTTGTTTTATGATGAAAAATTTATTAAAACTATACAATCAAAGTAATAAATTACAAAGTACGGAGTGTATAAAAATAGCTATTCGTAGTATCAATAATATACTTGCTCGTACTTATAGGTCATATCTATTAATTAACCTATATTAAAAATAAATTTTTCCATGACGCTTGTCATTACCTTGTAAAAAAAAATTCCGCCTTTTTCGCTTCCTTTTTTTTTCAAAATCTTTAAGTAAATTATTTATACTTTATGATATTTTCTTTCCAATTTGACAATCATATCATATCATATCACTAATAAATAAAGCCGGTCTCGTAGTTAGGCCACGAGACAGCGACACTTGACATTCCAGTTTTTTGCCAAGTGTCGTGCCACGTAGGTATTTTTGTGACACATATGATGCTAAGTAAGCCAATTCTGGATAGATTTTTTAAGATAGAAATGTTGTATAGAATTTTATTATCGATAGAATTCTAATATTTCAAATATACAAAATTAGTCATAACTTTAAATAACTGTCCTATAACTCGGATCTATTTCCATCCTAAAATACGTTTTAAAAAGTTATATAAAATAAGATCCGTTTATAATATATTTAATTTACTTTTTAAAAAAAATAATAGAGAATTAGTAAAAAGAAGTTTTAATCAGTAAAAAAAATTTAGTCTGGTGCAATTACTTTTAGTGCAGTAAAAATAATTTAAGTTCAATATTTATTTACATAGTCATCACAACTTTTTAGAAGCGAGGGTGTGATTAGTGTAACCTATTTGAAGGCAATCTAGTTTAAGTCCAAAAAAAAAAAATTCAGATTTATTTCATTAAGTTCAAACATAAGTTTATTCAATAACCAAAAAAAAAGTCAACAATACAAGTCTACAATAATTGTTAACTCTAAATAACGGTATTTAATGTAAACTCTGTGTATCCAAAAAAAATAAAATAAAAAAAATATTACAAAATAGAATTCATGAATCTAATACTCTAAATAGAATATTATTTCATATAAAAACCATATTATATCGTACCCCCTATATTTGAATCTAATTTTTTTGCTTAATTAGAAATTTTAATTAATAACAACATTCAACTAATATATTCTTTTAGTTATATCATCTCGTCTTAAACTATTTACACTACCTTCTTAACAAGGCATCATTTTGAAACGGAGGAGTATCCTTTTGTAAACTTGAAATCCATTCCATCAGTGCGATGTTGTAAACCGAAAACGCTGTACCCGTGGTCCAACTCTCAAACCATCGCAATTATATTAAATTGATAAATTCCATCTTTCTTTCGACGAAAAATTAAAAAATAATTGTACTATTAAAGTAAACGGTAAAATGATTCTCCGTTACTTAACCGAGGCAATGGCAACGTTTGAAATTACTTAGCAATTCCAAGGACCTTTCTAGAACATTCAAAACTTTCCCTTTAATTATTTCATTAAATAATAAAAAATCAATAAAAACCACCTCAATATTTCACCATCTTTTTAAGATTCCCAAAAATAAAAACAACACGTGTTTATATTGTCCCAACCAACCAAACAACTGTACACCATCTTTTTTTTTAAAAAAAGAAAAAAAACAATTTATTAAATTAAGTAAAATTCAATTTTATTAAATTAAGCTTTAATTTTAATTTCTTTACCACTCATTTATAAAAAGTCGCCCGCCTCCTTGTTATTATATCATCTTCCTTTATTATTTTCATTTGAATTTCTCTCTCTTCAAAATTTTTATTCCTCGTGGCTATATCTAAGCAACCCATCAAATATTCTTCAACTCTTTCTAGAAAAAATTGATTTTTTTTCATTGATTTGATTGATTTTTTCACCGGAAAGTATGTCTGCTTCGTCGGCGATGGGTGATCCCGGCAGATTTTCCGGTAACAAAATGAGTTTTTCCCAGACTTGTAACCTTCTCAGTCAATACGTCAAGAAGAAACGCGCTCTCGGCGTTTCTGGGAATATCGATTCCCGAGGTGAAGATCTGGAAATAAATTAAAATCAAACAAAGTTAGTCGTGTTATGTTATGTTTTATAAAAGACGGGTTTTTAATTTATATTTCGGATTTTTTTATAGGAACGTCAACTATGAATTTGTTTCCTGTAAGTGGGAAACAAGGAACAGCAGCAGCTGAAGAAGATTCAAATGGGTGTGTTGGAAAAACCATCAATCTCTTTCCTCAGCTTTCTGGGTTTAATTCAAGGTAAAGTTTTATTTAATTTATTTTTTCTTTTAATACTCCGTAGTTGTTATTACTATATTTAGTATTACTCGTATACATATTTAATTGTGTTTTAAGTTTTCGGGTTTTATTATATTACGCGTCAATTGGTGTTATTAATGTTTTCGTATTTAGCTCCTTATCTACGAAAGCGTATACAACGTGTGTTTGATACTGCTGTAGTTGTTCCACGTGATTGAAATTATTTAGCTAGAATTTTGTTGGCTGTAAATCTGTAATTATGAGATTAGGTTTTGACTAATTTGGAATTAGGATAAAGTTAGAGTAGATTTTTTAATTGTGAGTAATTTTGTTGTTCAAACCCTATAAAACGCAATTAAATTAAATGTAATAAATGAGTTGGGTATTATATAAATAAGTATAAAATGATTATTGGAATTTTCATGAAATGTTGTTGGTGTGAAACAAATTGATGGGGCCTTGTTATCTAGTCTAGTATGTAGGTGTGCCCCCAAAATTTAAGGATTAAGTATAGGTGGAACAAGGGTAATGCATGAACATGTTTTTTTTGGTTACACATTATTTGACCCTTCTCATTTATTGAACTTTTAAACCCCTTTGATTAATTAGAACCTTTTGATTACGGAGTAGTTTAGATCTTAGGGAGATTTCTAAACATGTTTAAGATGGCCTTGAAGTTGCTCATAAGCTTGTGTATCGCTTTTATGGTAGGCAATCGATTTGATATAGAATCCTTAACACATTTAAGGTGGTATTGAGCTATTAAATTAGCTCGTGAATTGCTCTTACTATATATGATTGGTTTTGGGATGGAACTTCGTGCAGACTAACTATTTGGACTAAGTACGGAATTTATGTACCTTTTTTTTATACACGTTATTGATTCTTGTGAACCAAGGATGATCCAAATGTTATGAAAAAAACTAGTAGCCAAAGCTCCGCATGCATATAATATTTTTAGCCTTGAGTTAGGGTTATTGTTATTGACCCTTGTGATGTTTTGGTTAATGTTTTCCCACTTTTGTTCCGATCTTTACTAGATGGGGAGAATCTGTGTGTCTGATTTGTTTTACTCGTTGTATTTCAGTGGGAACAAGCGTGCTAGCCCTGAGCCTCCGACTCCCCAAATGACCATCTTCTATGGAGGGCAAGTCTTAGTTTTTAGTGACTTGCCAGCTGACAAGGCAAAGGAGGTCATGGACCTGGCTAGCAGCTTTGAAGCTAGCCAAAAGAAGAGGAAGGTCGAAACTACCAACTCGTCTCCCTCTAGCCCTGTTGCTGTCCCAGTATCAGTCCAAAACACTAAATCAAACCTGAACCCGACCCTTAACTCAAACCAGAACTTGACTGTTGCTCCGAAATTTGGGAAGAACGTCATACCAGCTGCCATGCCTAGAGTGTCTGGTAATTATTCTGTGCATGTAGATATGTAATGACTTAAATGATGGGGATATTTTTAACTTTCTTTTTGTGAATTTTTTGCTGAGTTATGTGGGTGTTCTGAAGTATTATTATCAATCTTTTGCTGATGTAAATCTTGCTTGTTTTGAACCTGCAGATCTTCCTATTACTAGGAAGGCTTCTCTTCACCGTTTCCTCGAGAAGAGAAAAGATAGGTAAGGGAATTGTTTTGCAATTAGTAGATCGAACTGATGATTTTCGTCTTTCATCTGTTTCGAGTTTGGCAGAAGGGGGTTGATGTTATACAATTGTTACTCACATTAAGAATTGGTTACTATGAACAACCTAAAGAACTCGAAACGCATGCTATATATAGTACTTGAAACTACTTCATACTTTATAAATTGAAACAAACATTATAATTTCTTTGCTTGAATATATTGGATCTGATTTTTCTCTGTTTCGAATTAACAGGCTTGTGGGAAAACTCCCTGCTGATGTTGCCAACGGAGGCTCAGCAAAACCCGTAGAGGGCAAGGCTGCGTGGCTGGGACTGAACTCTGCGCCAGCGTTCCAGATGCAGAAGCAGCAGCAACCCTAGTAGTTCTAGACTTATAGTATATGTGTTATTTATGTATACTATTATAGGCATTTTATATGCAGTATATGATATAACTAATGAGCTTATTAGCTGTAGTGTTTGTTATGCTGGGGGGTTTTGGTTATTAGAATCCCTGTTTTTAAGTTAGAGCTGACATTTTTGTGAAACTTGCTAGCTTATGTAATTATTTTAAGCTAGTCTAAGTTCATTTCTCAGTTGAAATGAATATATATATGATTAATATTTTTGTTGTCTAAAATCTATCATATTAGTGTTAATCCTTTGTTTGACGTTGAGTCAGTGAAATCAATTGGCACGAGCTAGGTGCTGTAACTGCATGAATTCAGGAATTGTAGTGTTTGCAGTAGAATGAAACTTGAGCAGTTTCTGGGAGGTATGGAGGGCCATCCACATCTGTTATATAGATACATCATGTTATTCATGTATCTAAGAATCAAACATACCGACATCCTTTACTCCCATCAAGGCCTTCTATTCTTGCACAATATAATGTGAACTAGTTTTCAGGCTTGAGCGATCCCTTGACTTATTAATAATCTAAATTATACAAAGTACTCCATATTAACTAAAGCATGGTGTAATGGTTAAAACTTTAAGATCAATCATTGACGTTGATTACTTACTATTGCCGTGGTGGATTACATTTTTGTCCCTCCTATTCTCCATCTCATCTCATCCAGCCAATGTTAACGTATTCTTCATTCAAATTTAAAATAAAAATTAAACCAGCCAAGGTGAGAGTGGACCTTTGATTAAAAAAATTACCCTATATATTTTAATTATAAAAACACCAATGTTAATAATTAAATACTTTTTATTGAGGGAAAATAATTAAATAGTTCGTATGTCATAGTATATCCCTTTTATAATATCAGACTATTTAACTAATTTAATAAGAGTATTTCATTTAAGGGTGTATTGTACTACTAGTTGTTTGTTTATTAATTTATACTTCATGTTTGATTTTTCAACATACCGAATAACTATCTGAAATTTTATTTAATTATACGTGTTTGATTATGTATCAGTTTTTTTGGGTGAAATGTTTGATTATACCTATACATAACTATTTGTGTAAAATTTTAAAACACTCTTGTATACTTGAATAAGATATCTTATCTGTAGTATTTATGAAGGGAAGGTTATTAGTTATTACGGAGTACCATTTTGTTTCGTTGTGAGTATCATGACTATCTTAATTTAAGTTACTTATATCATTTATAATATAATCTCAAAGAATGCGTGTCATTATAAGTTAAGGTTGAAAACAGTTCGATAGTTTCTTTAATGATTCCTATGCATTTTCTTAGCTATTCTATCTAACTTGGTATGTTTGTCAACGTACAAGTTTAACTCGTAATATCTTAAATTGTGTAATTATAAACTACTAAAACATTATACATTTTGCTATTTTGAATATATATCGAAATAAATTTAACAAGACCTAGAGTTACAATTTGATTTATAATTTAGCTTATAATAATCAAAGTGATGTTGATTGAATAGAGTCAGAAGTCAAAATAAAATTCTAAATAAACGCGTATGTTATATTATACGAAGTATATTTTGGATAAAATAATCTAGATTTAGATTTGGAATTGAGTATAGGATCCTCCCTCCTTCGATGTCTAAGTCTATAATTGACCGAAGAGAGGGACGAGTAATAAATAGAGCATGTGTGGAAATAATAGGTGGCTTAGATGAGGGTATTTATTATAGGTGTCCATTGTGTAATTTATACGTGGCACTGATATTGATGATGATTTAAAGATATCCATCTTTAATTTTGTGGGAATGTCATATAGAGAATGAACTTTACTTCCTCTGAAATTTAAGGGATTGTTTGGTTAAATGGAGGGAAGAAGCTAAATAAAGGTGTTAAACACTGACCAGATCGATCAGATTTGATAAAAAAAAAAAAAAATATTAGATTTAAATTTCGACTCATGTAAATACAATAACAAACATAATTTAACTATGAAATAGATCCGACCACACCTCATTGATGAAACTCGACCCAAATACCTGAATCGACATCTCTAACTATAAGAACATGTTTAGATGATGGGTGACTTTGATTATATTTATACAGGCATAGGCATCCATTTATAAATTTATTTGCTTTCATAAAGTAGTAATGTTTGATTAGTGTTGTGATGACTAAGAATCTAAGATCGATCCAGCGCTATCAGATCGACTTAATTTTGTTCCGCCTAGAGCCTTTTGTAATTTATTACTTACATAAGACCGCTTTAGGTGAATTATATCTAGCATGTCAAAATATAATCAAGTGATGTTGTTAGATTTGTCTTGATTTAGATTTTGCATTGACAAGCGTGAAAGTCAAGGTGTTGCAACTTGCAATTTAAAATGGAGAAGGAATACCATTTTCTTATAAAAATACGTGAGCAGTGTGAATTATTTCTTTACATGTTACAATACTTGCGAAAAATATAAAGATATGGTTTTTAATAAAATTTTTATAGATGTTTTTTCTGACTAATTTTAGATGAACTAAGTTCAAGTCAAATAATTCCCTAAAAAAAAAAAGTTCAAGTCAGATAATAAATTCGACAAAATAAAATTAGATAATTTAATATGGAGTATAAAGTAAACAAATAATATTAAAACAAAATAATTTTCAATAAATTTAGGGAAAGAGAATTAATATCAAAATAAGAACACATTCTTTAATTGCAAATATTAGTAGTGATTTATCATGTGCCACCTTCCAATTGTTGGCTTAAAATAACATCAACATTATTCCCAAAAGTAATGTGTTATACAATTATTGATAGCTCCTTTTCCACTAGTTAATTAATCAAATTGAGTTTTGAATTTGAGGCTTCTCACACCCGAATTAATAATTCAATGATTTCAATCAAAGATAAAGTAATTTTGTTGACTTTTATATCAAATTAGATATTTGTATCTCATTTTATATTTTAATTTTATGTACAAAAAAGACAAACAAAAATAATAGGTATAGAAATAAGTGCATAGTTAAACCTTATGCATAACCATTGTATAGATGAATAGATCACGTATTTTTCTATAAACCTTCCACCTTCTTACCTCCCAAATTTCCACTTTCCATTTTATTCCACAAGCATCGCAGGCACCATCACTTCGGAATTGAGGATTATGATGGTTTACCAAAATCTCAACCCTCATAATTAACATTCCATACTTCTAGGATATGAAGTAAGAAACTTATCAAGTGAGTCGCACACTTTATTGATATGTCGTAATTGCATGACTGCTTCTTACGAAGTATTAAAAACCTTTTTCTGTTTCCAATTATCATTGCAACGCAAGATAGATATACATATTCAAAGCAAAGAAGAAAAGTAGAGACTTAAATAGAGGATTTAACATAACGAAATAAAAAAATACAAGTATATCAGTAACCAAACATTAATACATTACAGAGCTGCAATTACTTAACAATTGTGAATAATAAAAAATTACGATTAAAAAAGAATGAAAGAAAATATCTATAGTAACATTGTGCATCACACGAGCTTAAAAAACTTTCCAATAGCAGCTTCACAATTATTATCTACTCGTACATTCTACGGAATACAATACAACAAAATTAGGAAAATACAAGTACACAAGTTTGGATGTTTAATTTGTGGACATGAAATAGGATTCTGTATGATAATGAAAATGGGGCCCCGCCAACCCGACAAGGCATGTGAGGTCCATAGATGTACATGTACATGCTCAACTTGGTAACCACCTCTCATTATTTTTGAATTTTTTTATTCCAATCTCTAATTTGAGAACGTGACAATTTACATTATTAAAAAAAAAAAGAAAAGGTTTGTTCTTTCTCAATTAGTTTGACCAATAATAAAAATAAAAATAAAAATTGTAGGATATCAACAACTTTACACACGCATTCACCTACTCTTTTTGCCTCGACTCGTGCCGACTACCCATCTTTTTACTCCCTTTTTTAAGTGGTCCTAGCTTAATTGAGTGGATCTTTTAAAAAAATGTTTTAGTATATTTTAAATATTTAAAAATAAAACAAAATATCTTCCTTTGATATTAAAAAAGTTAATACGGCGTAATTAATAATCCATATTTATTGATTAATTTAAGTGTTGATATGTTAATTAACTCTAAAATAAACGTAAGTGATGGACAATATGTTGAAAGAATAAATTGATTTTTGAATTCTCCTAAAGGGACTCAAACACTCCTACATAAGATATTTAATTTATAATCTTAATCACTATATATTAAAGTTTTTTTGGAATTTCTCAACGGTAATCCCTAATTTCTCCTATGCACCAATGGTCACCTTTGTTTGTTTGTTTTTTTTTTTTTTTATTATATAAAATGACCCTAATTAAGAAATTTATCTCACATATAACATTAATGAGTGTTATTTATTTTAAAAAAACTAACTATGGTTAACTTTGAAAACAAAAAAAATAAATAAATAAAAACCACCAACCTAGCCACCACCTTCACCCTCATCTCCACCAGATGTAGCCAACACCACCTCCACCCTCACCGGAGCCACCATCTCCCTACCTCCACCTTCAACCCATCACCGCACAACCCCAGCGCAACAACTCCCTCGCACAGCAGCCCACAACCAACTAGCAGCCGCTTCCCACGAGACAACCATCGTCAACTGCCGAATAATTCACCCAACCACCAAAAACCGGCCACCACCACCTGCCAACCACCATCTCCCTTTCCGGCGAGACCACCTCGACCACTCCTAGACCGCCGAACCCAAATCACGACCACCCCAGATCGCCGAACTTAGAACCTTGACCACCCCGACCACTCCCAGTTCGTCGAACCAAAACAACGACCACCCTAGATCGTCGAACTTAGAATCCCGACCACTCCCAGATCGCCGAACTTAGAACCCCGACCACCTCCAGATCGCCGAAGCCAAATATCGACCACCCTAGATCACCAAATTACCTAGAACCGACCACCGATCCTCCTGCTCTCTCTTTCTTCTCCGCCCTCTCCTCCACCCTCTCTCTCTTTATCTTTCGCCTTCTTTGATCCCCGCCCAGAATCGAAACCTCACAACGAAGCAGCGAGAATCGAAGTTCAGAGGAGAGAGAGTTGTGAGGTTAGGGTCGGTTTAGGTGAGAATCGGGCTTGGTGGTGGTCGAGGTGGAGTTGGCGCAGTGTCACCGGCGGTCGGGGGAGTCTAGGTAGTGTCGGCGGCGATCGATGGAACCTCGGGTAGTGTCG